TTTCGTTGATTTGTGAGCTTGCTCTTAATAATTAATGGTGGTTTTTTGTTTTTGTTTTTGGAGATCTGTGACCTATGGTGGAAAATTGCAGATGACACACATAGACTAGGAAATGTAAAAAAAAAAATTGCCACACTCTGTTTGGGGATGCCACACTCTTTGGCTCAGTACTAACCAGACTCACTCACATATTTTGTCCTTCAGTGTGGGGTGTATCTTCCATTTCCCCACAAGTGGAAGCGGCTATTAGCCTATCCTGACATAGGCATAAAGTGAGTTATGTTTTTAAATTAAAAATGTTTTTCAATTAACTGCTAGGTGTACATATCACCAATGTAAGCTAACACAGGGAGGGAGGGAGGGAGGGAGGGAGGGAGAGGGGCTATTCAGTACATGTATGGTTGATAGTATTTAAAGTTAAGCTTGGGGGGGTAGAGATATTCACTGCTTTTCCACTTTCATGGGGGTGCTGCACCCCTAAATCCCTGTGAATGTGGAGGTTCAACTGTACTTAATTCAGTTTTAAAAGCCATTGAGAATTCTATCCACGAAGAATCAAATGACATGCATCTAGCTTAATCTACCTCTCACCCATCAGATTTATTTGGTGACTTAACCATGCTGTCACCTCAGTCCATTTCAGCAGGAAATAGCAGCACGATGTAGCAGCACTAAGCATTAAGAGGATGCTGGATTCTGCCATATAATAATTCTGTGCACTGGGAATGAAATCAGAGATGCTGGAAAGGAAATCTGCAGCTGTGAGGAAGAGGGCTTTTTATTATTTTAAATATATGTGTTAATAACCCAGAAGAGTTGGACTGGAGGGAAAGCTGTCACTAAAAAGCACACTTCTTCCTATACCTCCTAATGTTCCACAGACTGGAAGAACTTCATGGAAAAAGGACGTATTTTAATATATAATTCCATCAAAAATACAGAATAGGCATACCATTTTTAGGAGTGACCCTTTTCAAAAATATATGCTATGGGGCAATAATTATAGCAACAGGGCACTCATTCCAGTACACATCTATGAACACTTTAACCAAATAGAGTCAAGCAGGGATGACTCTGAACTAAATCTTGGCCATCCTCTCTACTGTGACAATCAATCAATTTCATTCAAAATTATATTTATCATGTGTCAGGACATCTTTTGAAAAAGTTTAAAAACTCAACAAAGACTGTATTTAAAATTGTTAACACTGGTTGGGAGAGATGCCCACAGAGTCAGTCTGAGGTCCATATTCAAGATCACACACTTGAATTCCACATTGATCAGTCTGTAGCAACTAATGGTTGGTAACCACAACTGCAACACCTGTAAGAATCCTAACTTCATGAAAAATCACACACTGAATGGAGGAAGGAGTGACCTTTTAACAAATGTACTTTACAATACAACCAGTTGGTTAGAGTTAGGGAGGTTGTGACAAGCAATACTGAATAAGCATCCTAAATTCATGGCAGATCTTTTAATTTCTCTGCCCATATCCCTTCTCACTAATTTCAGAAGACATGTATCAGAGTAAACAATCTGTTAATATAGTCTTGTCTTCCCTCTCCCCCTACTTTTTGAGATCCTGGGGAGGGCGGTGTTTGCTTGGCTGGGTGCTGTTGCTGCTATTGGTCTGCAATAGAGCGCCCAAGAATTCCTGATTGGCTAATATGGCATATTGGTACACATTATTTATGTCCTTAAAATGCTGTACTTCCATCAGGCCTCTAGCCCTGATTTAACTGGAAAGCTCCCATTCGGGGAAAGAAGGTGTTTGGCTTTCTAGGTGCGATTTTTGCTTCCTTTCCCCACGATGAGGTTATCCCGTCGCGTGATTTTCATCTTCACTGGATTCACCACCAGGGTTTGCAAGGGCATCCACTGCTAAAATACGGCGGTCCCGTCTCCTGAACCCGCCGACCGGCTTTCGTCATCCAGCCACGGCAGCCGTTAGTCTTCGACCGCTTTTGCAATCTAATCGCCCAGGGATTGCAAGCTCCAAAAAGCAGATCGCGATCTGAGCGCGAAGAGGTGGAAGCCAGGAAAATAACACATTTATTCCCCCGTTCACACAGAAAGTCAGAGGGTAGCCAGAGACCTAAAGCTTGGTGAGGAGAGAGGGCGAGGATGGCACCTTCCCGGGCACCAGCCACATCAAAGCCGCATCGCTATTGCTCCTCTCTCCATTTGAAACTGACCAGCCCTCCTCGTCGCATCCTCCAGTCTCTCTCCTTGCGCTCCGCCCTCTCCGCCCGCTTTCACCAATCCGCTCGGTCCCGGCTGCAAATCAAACTTGGTGCTCCCGGCGCAGCTCCCTCTCGCTCTCTCCCAAATCTACCTCGTCGCTCGAAGCAAGCAAGCCGTACAAGCCCTATTCAAGCTTCCCTCCCCCTGATCTCCATGTTGTAATGTCTAGGGAGGGAAGGAAGGAAAGAGAGAGAGAGAGGGAGGGAGGAGAAAGAGGGAGGGGGACTGAGCGGCACCCGCGAGCCTTGCAGGAGCTGCTTGCCCTCCTCCCCACCCCATCCCCCGCTCGCCTGCCTGCCTCTCTCCTCCCACTCCTCGACAGTTCTGGAAACTGTATCACCTCTTGTCACAGGAAACCATCCAGCAGGCGGTTGCAAACAAACAAACGCCCTCTGGCCCCCACCCGCTGGAGAGAAGAGGGGAACGAACACACGCACGCACAGAGCCAATCCCTACCACAAAGGGTGCTTGAGAAGAGAAGAGGGGGAATCGAGACGAAAGGGCTAGTCCAGCATCTTGCAAAGCCTGAAGATGGGAAGTAACAAAACCTAAGGATACGGGCAAGCAGGGAAACAGCACCGTGGCGGCTTTGTCTTAATTTCAGCACAGGGGCTTGATCGCAACTAGATTCTCCTCCTCCCTCCTGCTGCTGGAGGCGGGGGAACGGCGCACGGACCGTTAGGTGGCAACGATGCGGTTATTTGAAAACACCACCACCTACACCCATTTTCTCCTCTCGTTTTTTACCTTGATGCGGAGAGGTGAAACGGAGCAGCGCATCCCCCCGATCCAACCCTTACTTCCTTCCCTACAAGCACGGGAGGGGGGTGCGGTGCATAGTTTGCACCCACCTAGCCTTGCCCTATTCCATTTTCGAGATTTAAGGATTTAAGCGCCTGCCTCCGGTACACCCGAGCTCACCTTCCGACGTTTCTCGTCGGAAATATTATTACACAATCGAGCCTTCCACCCTCAGCTTTTGCGAGAGCGGTGGGTAGCCCCGGCTCTTCTCAAAAGGCAAATTGTTATCTCCGTACGCGAAAGGGATATCGAGGGCAGAGATCCTGACCTCCCTCGTTTGGAGAGCGCTTTGAAAAGTTTGCACCCGCCACCTGCGAATGTTTGCGGCTCCACAGCAACCGTGTGTGGATTTAAGCTCCTCAATACACAGGGAGGTGGAAGAGATTGCACTGAAAGAATGGATAAGTTCAGGCGTCTTTTGCTTGGCGGCACGCACCTTCCTGCCCGCGCGCCCGCTCGCCCAGGCTTCTTAGGCTCCAAGCGCAGCCGAACAGAAAGCCCCGCCTCCTGACGGGGGAGGGGGTGCCAACGCATGTAGCAAATGAGGCTGCTCTAAAGGGATTCGAATCCCAGGGCAACATTCCACATTCCATCCTTTCCCCGCATTAATCATCCACGCCAGCAGCAGCAGCGTTGAGCACCGAGAGAATCTGCTACCACCCAGCAGAACAGCAGTCGAACAACAAGCCCTGCCGCTGATACACCACACACCCCTTGTTTCCATGATATCCATACGCTCACACTTCTCTAACACGTGCACTTTCCAAGGGTCTTTACAACTTGCTCCCCCGACAGGGGAGAAGAGCGTTCGCTCTGAGCCGTCGCTGGCCGTCGTTTTGTTTCTTTCTACGGAACCAGGCGCCCTCCTGCTGCCGGAGGTCCCTTCCCCACCCCACCACCCCAAAAAACCGCCCCTCAATACACAATGCCCCCAGCTGCACCAAGTTCACGATCATGCCTGCTTCTTGTGCCCGACCGACGGTTCCGTGCTGCCCGTACAAATGAGAACAGAAATCTTGATTTGTGGAGGGAAGGGTGCATTTTATTTGGGGGATCTTTTTGCCACCTTTCTCAACCCGCCCCAGTACACACCCTGCCCTTGAATTAATGCTACGGAGATTTGGAACATGTGGGTGACACGGCGACAGATCCTGATTCCCTGGCCACCCCTCCCCCTCCCCTCCTTCCCCTCCCCTTTCTAGAGATCTATCTAAAAAGGACCTGCGCTCTGCCATTGCCATCTGTCTCCCAAGTTGTTACAATGCTTTTCACTTTCCGAGTGGGGCTGATATATCATCCAGCATGGATGCGCTTTAGGGTAGCCCGCCCTCATGCACCCACCCACCTTACCGACAAAGAAAACTATGGAAAAAGTCCACGGGGTGCACAACAAAACAGCACTGAAAAACTGGCAGAAAAACAAAACAACCCCCCCAGAAATCCACTCCATAACTGCTTTCATTCATCTAGATCACCTTAAAACGCTCCTGGTTTGCCAAAAGCAAAGTCTGCAGCGACATAAAATGCAGCCAGCTTTCAACTCCCCTCCTCCTCCCCTCCCCCATACTCAGATCGGTTATCAAAAGCTCCAAAATAATCACCTATTTTCTCCTCCCCCTTGCCCCCACCCCGTCCCTCCCCAGCAATGTACAAGTTGCTTATGGGATAGCGAAGCTGCAACTCAACTGCCTCCCCCTTTTTGCTCCCTATCAAGAAGCAAATCTTTTGGCGCCATATTAATGACGTACTATATTATTTCCACTAGGCAGCGACCTTCGGCATTAAATTGCTCTCTAGCTGCTTCTGGAGAACTCCAAAGCTAAGCAACCCCCCACAACCACCAAAAAAAAAAAAAAGGCACCACACATCAAATATGGCTGTGCAAGGCGGCTCGTTCTGCGGCGACGGGCGGAGAAGAGCAGAGCGTAAGGAGCTGCCTGGGCACAGTTACCTGCTGCTGTTGCTGCTGTGATGGTTGCCAGTGAGGCTGGAGTTTCTCTGCGCGAAGGGGTCTGTGCTGCCTCATGAGTTCAGACAAGCACTGGAGAGTGGGAGCAGATTGTGGCTCCCTTCACACACACAGACACACACACATAGAGAGAGCGAGCGAGCGAGCGAGAGGGAGAGCGAGTGAGAGAGAGACTCACTCTGACTGACGTTTTTACTTGTTATGGAGGAAGGACTCTGTGAATCAAACTCATTTCTGGGTCACTGCTGCCACAGGGGGGAGCTACTTTAATCCCCTGCCAAAACTAGAGTGGGGGGAGAGGAGGCAAGGAAAGGGATCGAGAGAGAGAGAGAGAGAGAGAGAGAGAGAGAGAGAGAGAGAGAGAGAGAGAGAGAGAGAGAGAGAGAGACTACTGCACTTGGAAAACTGTCTCTTTTAACTCTTTGCGCTCCTGCTTAGCTGAAGATGTCATGCTCCATTTACACTGGCAGGGAGGAGGCTCCCTCGGTTCCGGAGGTTTGCGTCGAGGGACCTGCCTTCTTGGAGAGGAAGGATCATTTCACGCAGGGACGGCAGCCACGGGGGTTTGGAAGACAGATCTCACGCCTTCCGAAATTGTCGATTGCTTTAAAGAAGGCTCGCCGGCTGTCACTTGGGCAGATGGCTTGCTCGCTTTTAAAAGGACACGCCATTGCCTTGGAAAAATATGTATTCTTAAAAATATACCTCGTTATTTGTGGGAAGGAAAACAAAGACACAAAAGTACTAGTAACCAAGAGGCAAATTGCAGGCATGTCTTTCCCTGTTTGGGGTGTACTATGAATCGCATGATACTTTTAAAATGTTGGGATGGGGGGAAATTCGGTGGGGGAAGCAGTTTTGAACTAGATGACATCCATCTGTCACCCAAGCTTCTCCTATAATTTTATAATTTTTTATATTTCCTTTGAGGTCTTGCTCTTCCTTTTAGGGGAGCAATGAAAGTCTCCAAAATAATATCAGTCTTCGTGATTTATAGCCATACTCAGGAAAAGCCCTCTGCTTAGAGCTGTTGATAGCACCATGGCAGAGTACATGTTTTGCATGCAAAAGGTCACTGGTTCAGTCTCCAGGTAGGAAGGCACAGGGGAAAAAACAAATGCTGCCTGTCAGTGTCAGCCATGCTGGCCTCCCTAAATCAATGGCCAGACTCAACACTGGACAGAAGATAGATAGTTGCACAACAATATAGTTGTTGAGAGCCAGTGTGCTGTAGTGGTTAAGAGTGTGAGACCTGGACTCAAGCAATCTAGCTTCTAGTCCCTGCTCAGCCATGAGGCCAGTCACAGACTGTTGGCTACTTTGAGTTCATTCTAAGAAAAAAGGTGGGCTATGCATCTAATAAATAAATAAATCACCAGGAGACCTCCATTTGGAAGCCTTATTCTGAATGAAGCTATGAAATCTGAACTCTTTCCCATCCCACTCACCATTTTTTCTAGCTCTGAAAGTAGTTTAACTATTTTATATATGACGGATAGGAGCAAACAAGGTCTAACCTGTAGCAATTATCTGCTTGATCATTCCCTTTATTTCCAGTACTCAGGCACTTTGTGCTGGCGCCTTTGTAGCAAAACAGTATCACCCATGCAGAAAAGAGAGACTCAACAGGCCTGGGGGGAAACCCAAAATTCCCTACTCCCTCCCAAAATCTTAGAAAATCCCTTGGGCAGGTAACCCTTGAAAACAGCCCAGTGAAGGGTGAATATGGCTAACTGTGGGGTGTAGGAGCATGATGAAGTGGTTGGAATCCTTAACAGCAGAGCTCCACAGTGCAACATTTTAATGTCCCACTTAGATTTCCATATAAGCTGCACTACATCATAGGTAGCTGTGCAGACCCATTAAAAATACCTCAAAACTATTGGGAACTGCTTTATCTGGACCTTCCAAAATATCCCAAAGTTGTGAGTAAGCTTTCAAGAACTTTGGATGCTTCCAGGGAGAGAGGCCCTTGCATTCTTCCATCTTTTTCTCCTTGATGGATTTTCCACATTAAAAAAAATCAAAGAAGCTGCATAAAAACATGGGAGGATTACAAGTAGAAAACAGAACTGCCCAGAGAGAACCACCCAGTGAGCTCTGGCTTTTGGGTGGCATCAAAACATACTGAATGCTAATAATAAGACATCTGGATACACATGTAAAATTCCATAAATCTGGCAGGGCAATGGTGCAATAAAGGGTTCTTTTGGAAGCATCCTGTGTGACATTTTGGTTGTTCCCAATAAAGATATTACCAGACTGTGTGGTTTATGGAAAACATATAACCTGTGGAATAGGGGAAGCATCCTCTGAAAGAAAGTACAAACTGGAATTGAAAGAGTAATTTATTTTGGGAGGCAATAAGAATCCAAGTATATTAACAGCAAAGTCCTATACATGTTTACATGTACTCAACTGAGTTTATGCCCTAGTATATATATGTACTTGGATTTGTAATCTAATTCTAATATTCCCCTGAGGCCACTTAATAGTGGGTGCAAGATGGACAAGTATTTATTAATTGGGAGTTGATCTTAAAGCTGCAGTAACATATTTATGCTAATAGCCCCAGTTTAAGCTCTGACGTTGGCCTGGTTCGCATAATCAAAACAGCCTATCATGGCTTCAACAAATAAGTAGTATATGTGGAGTTGTTTTTTATCATTCAACCATCAACTTGTCATGTCATGGAAACTCGGTGACTGTGGGTTATGTGAGGTTAAATAACCCTCATATAATCCACAATCTCTTTAACTCTTACATAATGCATGTTTTCTGGGTTTGGAAGACATGACAAGCCACAGCTTGAATGCTCAAAATGGCTGCTCAAAATGGCTGCCAGCATATGTCACAGCCCAGCATGGTTTAAATAAACCATGGTGGGCTGTTCGGTCATTTGAGCAAGCCGACTAAGTCTGAAAACTGTTCTTGAACTGAACTCCACTGTTGGTTTCCCAACTGATAAGAAAGAAAGACAACCTGGCCTGCTCTTTTCCCTCTAACAGCAGCTTGATATGCCAAAATTGGCAAGAGGAAGCTTTTCACAGTATGGAGATAAGTGTTAAGGCATGAATACTTAACTAGATCAAGCAACTGAGAAAATGCAGTCGTTGGTCCAAAAATTGACAACCCTACATTTAAGACATCAGCATTGTGTTGCCACCAGCTGTTAATAATACACCAAGGAGACACTTTAACCAACCTGAATATCACTGTACCATTATTTCCCACATTCCAAAATATGAAATATAAATGAAAAATTGGCAGGCCGAAGGAGACATATTTTCTTAATCAATGAATTTACATTTTTCCCCTGAGCAAAACTCAGCATGTAATCCTTTGCAAAGTATCTTTACCAAATTAAGGAAGAACATTGCTTTAAGTTTATCATAACCGAACATGAAAAAAGCTAAAGCTAAGCTTGCCTATGGGGGAAAGTATCTATCTATCTATCTATTTATCTATTCATCCACACACACACAGATATATATATTCTAGGACAGTTAAGATGCACTAACTATGGCATCCCCTTGGGCAAATTTTTTTCAACACAGTGATGCCAGAATGGCTCCAAATGGAGAAGGCTGGAAACAGCTTAAAACACATTCACACTTGTATGCATATATACACACACAGTCTCTTAAGTAGAAAAAGTCTGAGCTTTTGTTTGCTCTGCCTCAAGAATCTATGATTCAGTGGAGGCATTGCTCTTTATACATTAAAATAAGCCAAGTAATTTATCCAAGCGTATCATACACCTACACCTTTGCCACACACATTGCAAACTTGTTACACATTCAGAAACCAATTTCATTTTCATCATAAATCAGAAACTAGGTCTCCTATTCATCTCTGCAAATTCTAAAGTGGTCCTTTCTTATGAGATTCAGCTATAGAGACTTGATCAATATATGCTTGATTTTTTTTAAAAAAATAAGAACATTCCTACTTTTTCTTACTTATCAGTTTCAGAAGAAAGCACCAAATAACAGGCTCCAAGCATTATTTATCTTATATACTAATAGCAAACTTGCTTACTGAGGGTGGATCATTATGTAACCCACACAGAACAGTCCATGCACATGAGGGAGGTATAAGTATACAACAGGACAGTAAAATGAAAAATCTTGTAAGGGAGGAAACCCCAAATTAGTTCATTTAAGACCAAGAATACTCTTAAGTGTGGAAAACTGCCTGTCTTTTGTGCAGATGGGTAGACACTTTCCAGGATCCACCATATAATATTCTGTTATAAGCCCAAATTATTAGTAACTATAAATAATAGATTGATTTAAATATAGATAAATTGACTTTGACTAATTTATCACCAAAATAAAACCCCTCTGAGATTCAGGATCTCACATTATATGCAAAGCTATACCTGAAATATTATGATGCCATAAAGGAACCTGAACTTTGTTAACCACCAAATAAAGGATCAGTGAAGAATGGTGATATGTCAGAACAGCAACAGCTTCTGTTAAGAAAGTCAAAGATCATTTTCAATTATGGATAAATTCTTGGCTTCACAAACATATCAGAAAACAGCTTGGTTATTCCAAGATCAATTCCAAAATTCAGATGCCATCACACTCCCAATGGCGTAACTGAAAATGAAATAGCATCTAAATGCCACCATTCAAACACACATACGCTCGCACACACCACTTGCCTTCCTGGAGTGGCAAATGACAGCACAGCTAGAGCAGTAACTCACACAGAGATGCAAAGACAGACTTTTCTGAATGAAAGTAAAGTAACCAGCAATAGGGGGACTATCCAATGCAGGTGCAGGAGAATTAAGTTCTCCCAGCAGAGGCTAACTGGAAGCAAGTAAATGCAAAGCAGTAAATCATGTAGATCCTCTGTTTAGATCAATACTACTTTGGGCTCATAGGAAATAGTTTGGAGTGGTAGTTACAGCATTAGACTAGAGTTGGGGAAGAGCCAAATACAGATTTCCACTTGGGCAAGAAACTCATTCAGTGATCTTAGAACAGTGACTATCTCTCATTCTGGCCAATTCCAGAGAGATTTTGTAAGAATAAAATATGGGAAACCCACATGTAGTGCTTTGAGCTTGTTGGATGAGAGGCAGGATACAGATGTATTATTGATGTATTTCAATGTATTCCTCATGCTACACTCATAGTTTTTACATAGCACACTATTGGGCCTTGGAAGCAATTGCCATAAGACAACTAAAATGGCCTTGAGGATGGTCTGAAAGTTAATCATGGAGTTC